TACCTTCATCTTTTTCACCCTTCCTTTCAAACTCACTCCCATCTAGCAACCATCAAAATGTTCTCTGTATCTATGAGTCTGTTTCTGTTCTGCTTTGTTCATTTATTTTGTTTTTTAGACTCAATTGTTGATAGATATGTATTTATTGCCATTTTATTGTTCATATTTTTAATATTCTTCTTCTTAAAGAAGACCTTTAACATTTCATATAATGCTGGTTTGGTGGTGATGAACTGCTTTAGCTTTTTCTTGTCTGGGAAGCTCTCTATCTGTCCTTCAATTCTAAGTGATACCTTTGCTAGGTAGATTAATCTTGGTTGTAGGTCCTTTTTTCTTCACTTTGAATATTTCTTGCTAATCTCTTCTAGCCTGCAAAGTTTCTGTTGAGAAATTAGCCGACAGCCTTATGGGAGCTCCTTTGTAGGTAATTAACTGCTTTTCTCTTGCTGCTTTTAAGATTCTCTCTTTGTCTTTAACCTTTTGCATTTTAATTATAATGTGTCTGGGTGTGGCCCTCTTTGGGTTCATCTTGTTTGGGACACTTGTACTTCCTGGACTTGTATGTCTATTTCCTTCACCAAATTAGGGAAGTTTTTCATCATTATATTTTGAAAAGTTTTCAATTTCTTGCTCTCTCCTCCTTCCAGCACGCCCATGATATGAATGTTGGTACACATGCTTGAAGTTGTCCCAGTGGCTCCTTACACCATTCTCATTTTTTTTTTATTTTTTCTTTTTGTTGTTCTGATTGTATGTTTTTTGCTTCCTTGTATTCCAAAGCACTAATTTGATTCTCAGCTTCATACTCTACTGTTGATTCCCGGTAAATTATTCTTCCTTTCAGTTAGTGTACCCTTCTTCTTCTTTTTTTTTTAAATGCTGTTGATGTTCTCACTAATTTCATTGCGTGTCTCCATTTTGTCCATTTTGTTTAGTTCTTTTTTCTAGAATTCTGTTCTTTCATTTTGGCCATGTTTTTTGTCTCCTCATTTTGGCAGCTTTGCTATGTTTGATGCTATGTATTAAGTAGAGTTGTTATGTCTCCCAGGCTTGATAGAGTGGCCTAATCTACTAGGTGTCCTGTAGGGTCCAGTGGCACGCCCTTCCTGATCACCCAAGGCGGGCACTCGAAGTGTACTCCCTATGTGGCCAAATACACTTTCCTGTTGTAGTTGAGCCAACAGTATGTCAATGGGAGGGATTTTCCCACATGCTTTCAAAAATTTTATTCTGTTTTTCAGAAACATAACCATTCCTCTCAGGATTACATATGAGAAAAAAAATACCATTAAAAAGTGTCTGATTGAGTTCTATTTTTATGTTATTTAATTTTATGATCATCATTAGTGACCACAAAAATAATGTAGGGAAAATTATGTTTCTGAGTTATATTCAAAGATTTTCATTGGTAACCATTAAGTTTAATTTCATAATTGTAAATACTATTTATGTATAATCTGTTGGAATTCATAGACCTTCAGGTAAGTGTACTCTTATCTTTTGCTGTATGTAGCTTTAAAAAATTATACACTTTTTTATTGTATTTTTTTAATTACCATTTATCCCCTTTATACCTTCTTGCACCTCCATCCATCCTCCTCACCCCTGCAATCACCACACTGTTGTCCATGTCCATGAGTCCTTTTCCCTTTTTGCTTGTTCCCTTTACTCCCCAACCCCCCTGCCCAGAGCTGTCAGCCTGTTCTCCATCTATCAGTCTGTCTCTGTTTTGCTTATTAGTTCAGTTTGTTCATTAGATTCCACATATGAGTGAAATCTATGGTATGTGTCTTTCTCTGACTGGCTTATTTTACTAAGTATAATATTCCCCAGGTCCATCCATGCTGTCACAAAGGACAAAATTTTCTTCTTTTTTTATAGCTGAGTGGTGTTCCACTGTGCAAATGTACCATAGTTTTGTCTACTCACACACTTGGGCTGCTTCCAAATCTTGGTGATTGTAAATAATGCTGCAGTGAACATAGGGGTGCCTATATTATTTTGAATTAGTTTCAGATTTCTTCATATAAATTCCCAGATGTGGAATCATTGGTCATAAGGTAGTTCCATTTTTAATTTTTGACCTCAGTACCATAAAAATCCTAGAAGAAAACATAAGCAGTACAATCTTGAACATTTCTCATAGCAATATTTTTTTTTCTGATATATCTCCTCAATCAAGGGAAACAAAAGAAAAAACAAACAAATGAGACTACAGCCAACTAAAATATTTTTGCACAGCAAAGGAAATCATCAACAAAATAAAAAGACAATCCACTGAATGAGAAAACATATTCACTGACACATCTGATAAGGGGTTAATAGCCAAAATTTATAAGGAACTTACAGAACTCAAAAAAGCGAACAATCCAATTAAAAAATGGACAAAAAAATCTGAATAGACACTTTTCCAAGGAGAACATAGAGATTGCCCATAGACATATGAAAGGATGCTCAACATTACTACCCATCAGAGAGATGCAAATTAAAACCACTATGAGATATCACCTCACCCTGTCAGAATGGCCATCATCAATAAATCAACAAACAAAAAGTGCTGGTGAGGATGTGGAGAAAGCGGGACCCATTTGCACTGTCTGTGGGAATGCAGATTAGTGTAGCCACTGTGGAAAGCAATATGAGTTATCTCAAAAAATTTAAAAAATTTTAAAAAATATTCTCTATTACTGCTGTATCAGTCCAAGATGTGCTTCTGGGATATAATTAAATTTGCCACATACACATATCTCTATGGCATCAGCCAGGAAATTATCTAATAACTGTTCTCATAAAAATTAGAAATTATTAGAAAATTAATTTGCATTAAGTAGTATGTGTGTATGTAATTTCCAAAGTCATGAAATATATTTTCAGAAAATCTAAAGCTTTCTTTTTTTCTAGGAAAAAAATCAGAGTAGTAGTTGACCAAATGTATTTGGAAGATATTAGCCTTATTGTGTAAATCAAGGTATACAGGGTATTAGCCAGGATTCTCCAGAGAAATAGAACCAATAAGATTTTATACACACACACACATACACACACACACACACACACACACAATATAAGATATATATATATAATATGAATATATATTATATTTGTGTTAAGAGATTATGAGGGCTTGAGATGAAGTTAGCTATAGGAATGGAAAAAAATGGGAAACTCATTTCAACAAACATTTAGCACTCGTTAAATGTCAAATATTGTACCTAAGTATTTTGCCTTGAATTTTTATGTCATGTTGGATCTTTTCAAAACATTTGAGATCCTGGCAGACAGAAAGGTACTATAATGGCAGAGGATGAGATAAACTGTCTTTGGGGGAATATATTTTAATTCCCAGAAACAAAATGTCTGTTTGTTACAAACTTAGAACTAGATATCAGTAAAATGAAACCATCTTTTATTTTAACAACGGTAAGGATGGTAAAATTTAAATTTTCTATTAGAGTAGAAAAATATATTTTTACCTTCTAAATGATAAAGATTGATAAAAAGGTAGAGTAGTCTTAATCTTTCTCAATAGACTTCGTCTTCTTAAAAATTCAAGATTTCTCTTTTCCAGCATTTACGTCAGGTCCAATACAAAACAATTTGTTATTAAATGTTGGACTGATTTTATGTTGAATAATTTATAATAGTAGACATTTTGTGGTATTTATTTGTTAATGCTTTTATTTAAGAAAAATATCCAAGGGGTCAGATTATGCAAAATTGTTATCAAACATAAAAAATTGAAACAATTTGGAAGAAGTAGACCAACCATTCTGAATTAAATATTAAATATAGTATATCATAAAGATAGATTGTTTACTTTCCAGTTTAGCTTATTTATTATTTATAATTTTTTATTGTTATTATACTACAGTTGTTCCAATTTTTCATCCTTTTTGCCCTCCTCCACCCAGCCCACGCCACGCTCCCCAGTGGCTGCTGTCAGTCTGCTCCATGTTTCCGTGCTTGTGGTTCTATTTTGCTCATTAGTTTATTTTGTTCAGTAGATTCCTCTTATAGGTGAGATCATATGGTATTTGTCTTTCACTCACTGGCTTATTTCACTTAGCATAATCCTCTCCAGTTCCATCTATGCTGGTAGGAGATCCTTCTTTCTTTCTGCTGTGTAGTATTCCATTGTGTAAATGTACCACGGTTTTTTGATCCACTCACTTACTGATGGGCATGTAGGCTGTTTTGAGCACTTGGCTGTTGTAAATAGTGCTCCTATGAACATAAGGGTGCTTATGTCCATTTGAATTGGTATTTCAGGATTCTTAGGGTATATTCCCAACAGTGGAATCACTGGGTCAAAAGGAAGTTCCATTTTTAATTTTTTTCTCCATTTTAAATGCTAATTTTTATTTACTGCTAACTGTGCAAGGGACACCAATTCAATACTGTGCAGTAACTCAGTTGCATAAGTCCAATATTAAACAATATAGCATATGGGACAAATCTAAAGCTGAGCACCCTGTGCCTTTGAAATTGATATATCACAGAATGCAACGCAGTTTAGACAGTTCTTAAGAAACCTGAAGAACTCTCATTTAATTTTGTTAGTTATCCAGAAACAAATGCTCTTGGTTTTGTTTTATTTTCTAGAGAAAAGTGGAAGTTAATCGAATTTTGTAGTTTAATATAATGTGTGATATCTAAACCAAGGAAATTGTTTGTATAACTTATTCTTTTTATCCATTGGTACCATAAGTAAAATAACACTGACAGGCTAGCTGACAGGAAGACAGCTGAATACAACAAAGTATGCTCAGCATGGGGCTAGTTGTACATTCATCTTGATTTCCTTATTCACAGCCCAAAGTAATATTTCTTTATTACTTTGTAAAGTGCTATTTTAAATCAAAAGATAAAATAATCTGAAAGACAGATACAATAGTAACCACTCTAAACACCTAAATCTCTTAAACACTAACATAAAACAGTTTAAAAAAAAATCAAAACAGCAAGAAAAATGGCAGTGCAAGAATACATACTGCTGAATCTTACATATTCTGAGGTACATAATGACAAGCTGAGGAAGGTGAAGCAACATAGCCAGCTGGCCCAGGATTCATAGCACCATGAATCTGAGGAGAACCACCATATGCTGCACCAATGGGATGCCAGGGGGCAACAAAGGAATAATCTGGCACAATGGGAAATCAGGAATCAAAACTAGGCAAAGGTGGCTGCCCACAGGGATCCAACATCACCGGAAAATAGACTGCTCCTTGAGGGACAGGTGCAGGGTTGCCATTTGGAAAGTTACCATTTGCTGATGCTTCCACTTGTGCGCCACCTTGTCTCCCCACCTCAGTGTACAACAGGAGGATGGTCTGATCTACCAGAGTAGGTGTCTCAGTACAGACTGGATAATTCTCTACATGAAGATGGTGTTGCTGCATCTGTGGCACACAGACCATGGAGTGCCAGTAGTTGTGGTGATAGCACTGCAGTCCCAGGTTGAAATAGTACTGCAAAACTTTTGTATCTTGTGGCAGGTCACTGCTACTTGGATCACAGGAATAAGGTGGAGGAGGCGGTGGTAAGTTTGAAGCCTCTCCTACCTCAGCAGGAATAGGAGGAGGTAGAGAAGGAGGAGGAGGCGGCGGTGGCGGTGGCGGTGGTGGTAGAGAGGCAGCAACAGCAGGCACAGGAGCAGAGAGGTATGGATAGGGCGGTGAAACAATCACGTTGTCACTTTGGCCATCACCCTCCTCTGAACTCAAAGTCTGTTTGCCTGAGTTATGTCCTTGCCTTGCAACACAGTATGTTGAAGCAGGAGGAACCATTGTGGAGGACCTTCCATTATTAGGTAAAGTTGGATAAACAGTCTCACCCCCTTCTTCAATTTCATAAAAAGTAATGGTTTCTTCCAAACCCTGGGGCATCTGTCCATTTTCTGGGGCAAAGCTATATTGGCACTCCTTATTCGTGCATTGCATCTGGCGGTGACTACATCTAAAGGAACGAGATCTACAGGAGAAGTTATCATAGCTCTGGCAGCACTTCTTCCCTGGGCCAGGGTAAAAACCAACTTTAGGGTCTGCCATATTGGGCCTGTTTATAGAGCGAGATGAGTCCCTGGGCATCCCATATCCCCGACCTTGTCTCTGAGATGAATGTTGAGGATGAAAAATGTTCATTAGCTATAACATCGCCAGCTGTCTGTGAGGAGTGCATTGCAGGGTCATGCCCATAATGCATGATACTATGCTGAAGCCTGGGTACAGGCAGGCTGTCTCCCCTGCTGTAAGCCGCAGACATATACATTTCTTTTCCTTTCACTCTCCTGAATATCTTCTGTTGCTTCACACCTATTTCAGGCATTACCATTTCTGGGAAATAGCCCCCGGACATTTTCTGGTAACCTCTTCCTTTCTGACTAGGCATAGCATTCCAGGCAGGAACAGGTGTCACTTGAGTAACTGGTTTTAAGTTAGCCAGTGGAACAACATGCTTTCCTGCCAATTCTTCAGTGAAGACTGTTACTGAATTGTTCTCATTTCCAACTTCCTGTACATGAGCATTATAATATTTTCCATTTGATTCCAAGTGAACTTGACACTTGTCTCCAAAATAGTAATGTCTCCAGCATATTCCATGTAATCAGTTTTTTGAAGTTCTTTTCTGCTGTCCAACCAAACATTAAATTCTACATTATGATAGATTTCTGGATCCAGAGCTTTGAGCACCTTATAGGGGAAGAGCATCTTTGATGGATTTTCTGGAGACTTTGCTTCTTCTGTTCCTCCACTGTACCCCTCTGGTGTATTTTCAACATTGCAGCAATCACCCCACTCTTCAGTCCTATCCTGAGTTAAACTCTTGTAGGCATCATGGGCATCCTCACTGCCAGTGACAGCATTGTTTCTGTTCTTCTTGGAACTACTTTGAAACAATTCAACTGCAGTCTTCAATGCTTCTTCATCCACAACAAACACATTTTTATAGAGAATTTCATACAGTACAGCTTGACAAACATCTGCACTTGACTGAAACTGTTTTGAGTACACTGAATCATAAGGACCATTACTTGAATAGCAGAGTAGAATCTTGTCTTCATAGCCATTATCTGTGACATAAGTTGGAGGCTTTCAAGAATTGCGATAAAGAATGAAACCTTGATTATAAATTAGAGGAAGAGCTCTTAATTCCAGCTGGCCAGCACTTTCCTTGGGATCTCCCAACCATTCCAGGTATTTCTCAAAAGGTCCCTCCACATAAGACCCAAAAGTTTGTTGATTTTCTCTCATATATGAGACACAAGCCTTCCTGATTTCCAAATGATGGAACAGGCTGCAAAACAACTGCTCCGAAATAGCCTGAAAGAGGCAAGAGGCATCCTTGACAGTCAGCTTTCGAAACAGCCCTAAGCTGCCTAAATATTCGTCCATTGTTGCCTCACTCAGAGACTTCTGGCCACAGTACTTTTTCCATCCTTTTTGAATTGTGCCCAGAGGATGGACGTGGGGAGGGAGAGAAATGAACACAAGTGTAGCCAGAAGGAAAAAGCAGGGTGCAGGTAGGAATGGGTAGCAGTGACAAGGACTTGCTTATGCATGTATCCGGAAAGCAGCCCAAAGTCTAGGTATGAGAAGGCAACTGGAGTCAGCGTTTCAGAATCTTGGCACTTCTCAGGAGCAGAAGCAAAGAGCTGGCTTGTGCAGGACAAGTCAAGATCCTTATTGGGGAAGAGTGGAATTAACCCAATCAGCCCAAGGTTGGGGGAAGTATGCACAAGCAGCTGAGCTTTGGGACCCCATTTTTAATTTTTTGAGGAAATTTCATACTGTTTTTTGAGTGGCTGCACCAGTCTGCCTCCCCACCAACAGTGCACTAGGGTTCCCTATTAACTACAACCTTGCCAACACTTGTTGTTTGTTAGTTTATTAATAATGGCCATTCTGACAGGTGTGAGATGATATCTCATTGTGGTTTTAATTTGCTTCTCTCTGATGGCTTGTGATGTTGAGCAGTCCTTCCATATGACTATGGATGATCTGTATATCCTTTTCGGAGAAATGTCTATTCAGGTCCTTTGCCCATTTTTAATTGGATTGTTTGGCTTCCTGGCGTTGAACTGTATGAGTTCTTTATATATTTTGGAGACTAAACCCTTGTCTGATGTATCATTGGCAATTAATTTCCCTCATATGGTCTGTTCCCTTTTCATTTTGATGATGGCTTCTTTAGCTGTGCAGAAGCTTTTTAATTTGATGTAGTACCATTTGTTTATTTTTCCCTTTATTTCCCTTGCCTTAGGAGACATATTAGCAAAAATACTGCTACAAAGAATATCTGAAATTTTACTGCCTACGTTTTTCTCTAGGATTTTTTATGGTGTCATGACTTGTATTTAAGTCTTTTATCCAGTTTAAGTTTATTCTGGTGTATGATGTAAGTTGGTGGTCTAGTTCCTTTCTTTTTTTTTTTTTTTTTTTTGCATGTTCCAGTCTAGTTCTTCCAATGTCATTTATTGAAGAGGCTATTTTTATTTCATTTTTTGCTCCTGCCCCCTTTGTCAAATGGTAATTGACCATAGAGACATGGGTTTATTTCTGGGATATTTTTCTGTTCCATTGATCTATGTGTCTGTTCTTATGCCAGTACAAGACTGTTTTGATTACAGTGGCCTTGTGCTATAGTTTGATATGAGGTATTGTGATCCTTCCTACTTTGTTCTTCTTTCTCAAGATTGTTGAGGCTTTCAGGGTCTTTTTGGTTCTGTACAAATTTTTGAAAGGTTTTTCTAAATCTGTGAAATATGCCATTGGTATTTTAATAGGGATTTCATTGAATCTATAAATTGCTTTGGGTAGTATGGACATTTTAACAAGTTTAATTCTTCCAATCCATGAACATTATATATGCTTCCATTTATTTGTATCTTCCTCAATTTCTTTCTTTAGTGTTCTATAGTTTTCTGAGAACATGTCTTTTACCTCCTTGGTTAAATTTATTCCTAGGTACTTTATTTTTCCTTGTTATAGTAAATGGGATTTCCTCTCTACTTTCTCTTTCTGACAGTTCATTGTTGGTGTACAAAAATGCCATTGATTTCTGAATATTGACTTTGTATCCAGCTATTTTGCCAAATTCACTTATTAGGTCGAGCAGCTTTCGGTGGAGACTATAGGGTTTTCTATGTACACTATCATGTCGTCTGTGAATAATAACAATTTTACTCCCTCCTTTCCAATTTGGATGCCCTTTATTTCTTTTTCTTGTCTGATTGCTGTGGCTAGGACTTCCAGTACTATGTTGAATAAGAGTGGTGAGAGCAGACACCCTTGTCTTGTTCCTGATCTTAAGGAGTAAGCTTTTAGTTTTTGCCCATTGAGTATGATATAGGCTGTAGGCTTCTCATGTACAGCCTTTCTTATGTTGAGGTATGTTCCCTCCATTCCCACTTTGCTGACTATTTTTATCATAAATGGGTGCTGGATTTTATCAAATGCTTTTTCAGCATCTATTGATATATCATGTGATTTTTGTCCTTCATTTTGTTTATGTGGTGTATTATGTTTATTGATTTGTGACTATTATAATATCCTTGCATCCCTGGGATGAGTTGTACTCAGTATGGTGTATGATCATTTTAATGTAATGCTGGATGCCATTTGCCAATATTTTGTTCAGGATTTTAGCATCTATGTTCATCAGTGATATTGGCCTGTAGTTTCCTTTACTACATCTTTACCTGGTTTTGGAATTAGGATAATACTAGCTCTGTAAAAACAGTTTGGGAGTCTTCCATTTTCTTGAATTTTTTGGAATGGTTTGAGAAGGATAGGAGCTCTTCTTTAAAGTTTGGTAAAATATGCCTGTGAAGCCATCCAGTCCATGGCTTTTGTATGTTGGGAGTTTTCTTTATTAATGCTTCATTTTCAGTAGTTGTTATCAGCTTATGTAGACTTTCTGCTGCTTCTTGATTCAGTTTTGGAAGTTGTATGTTTCTAGAAATGTATCCATTTCACCCAGGTTGTCCAATTTCTTGGCATTCAGTTGTCGATAGTAATTTCTTACAATCCTTTGTATTTCTGTGGTATTAGGTGTTACTTCTGTTTCATTTCTGATTTTATTTATTTTGGTCTTTTCTTTTTTTTCTTGATTAGTCTGGTTAAAGGTTTGTCAGTTTTGTTTATCTTTTCAAAGAACCAGCTCCTGGATTCATTTTCTTTTAATTGTTTTTTTTAGTCTCTTTGTCAGTTAATTCTGCTCTGATCTTGATTATTTCCTTCCTTCTACTTGCTTTGGGCTTTGTTTATTGTTCCTCTAGTTCTTGTCAGTGTAGGGTTAGGTTGTTTATTTCAGATTTTTCTATCTTCTTTAGGTAGATCTGTATTCCTATGCACTTCCCTCTCAGGGATGCCTTCCCTATGTCTCGTAGTTTGTGTGTGTGTGTGTGTGTGTTCATTTCCATTTGTTTCCATACTTTTTGATTCTTCCTTGATCTCATTGTTAACACATTCATTATTTAATAACATGTTATTCAGTTTCCATGTATTTGAATGTGTTTGCATTTTTTCCCCTGCAAATGATTTCTAGTTTCATAGCACTGTGGTCAGAGAAGATGCTTAATATGATTTCAATTTTCTTGAATTTGTGAGGCTTGTTTTGTGTCCTACCATGTGGTCTATCTTTGAAAATGTTCCATGTGCATATGAAAGAATGTATATTTTGCTCTTTGGGATTAAATACTCTGTACACATCCATTAAGTCCATGTGATCTAAGGTGTCATTCAATGCCACAATGTCCTCATTTTTTCTTTGTTTGGAAGATCTATCCGTTGTTGACAGTGGTGTGTTAAAATCCCCTACAATGACTGGGTTACTGTCGATATCTTTCTTGAAGTCTTCCAAGATATTCTTTATATATTTAAGTGCTTCTATGTTGGGTGCATATATGTTTAGAAGGGTTGTATCCTCTTGTTGGACTACTCCTTTAAGTACTATGTAGTGACCTTTTTTGACTCTTTTTCTGGCTTTTGTTTTGAAGTTCACTTTGTCTGATATAGGTACTGCTATGCCAGCTTTTTTTTCACATCTGCTTGCTTGGAATTTTTTTTCCATCCCTTCACTTTCAGCTTGTGTAGATTGTTTGTTCTGAGGTGGGACTCTTGTAGACAGCATATATGCGGGTCATGTTTTCTTATCCATTCAGCTACCTTGTGTCTTTTGATTGGAGCATTTAATCCATTTACATTTAAGATCATTATTGATAGGTACTTATTCGTTGCCATTTTTTCACTTTGTACCTGTGTTCCTGTCCCTCTCTCTTTTCTTCATCTTCTTAAAGCAGTCCCTTTAGCATCTCTTGCAATGCTGGTTTTGTGGAGATATACTCTTTTAACCTTTTATTTATTTATTTATTTAGTCTGAGAAGTTCCTTATTTTGCCTTCCATTTTAAATGAGAGCTTTGCTGGGTACAGTAGTTGTGGTTGAAGTCCTTTGCTTTTCATTACTTGGAATATTTCATGTTATTCCCTTCTGGATTGTAGTGTTTCTTTTGAGAAATCACCTGCTAGCCTTATTGGAGCTCCCTTGTATGTTACAATCTGTTTCTCCCTTGCTGCCTTTAAAATTCTCTCTTTGTCTTTGAATTTTGCCATTTTAATTATGATCTGTCTTGGAGTGGGCCTCTCTAGGTTCTTCTTGATTGGGATCTTCTGTGCTTCTTGGACTTGCATGACTTTTTCCCTCACCAAGTCAGGGAAATTTTCTGTCATTACTTTATCAAACAGGTTTTCTATCACTTGTTCCTTTTCTTCTCCTTCTGGTATCCCTATGATGAGAATATTATTTTATATCCTGTTGTCCTGCACCTCCCTTAAACTGTCTTCATTCTTTTTGAGTCTTCTTTCTTTTTTTTTGTTTTGCTGCTATGTCTGGGTGTTTTGTTTTTTTTTTCTGCTTTGTCCTCCAACTTGCTGATTTGATCCTCTGCTTCATCTAGCCTGCTTTTAATTTACTCTACTGTGTTCTTCATTTCTGATATTGTATTCTTCACTTCCTCCTGGCTCTTATTCATAGTCTCTATGTCTTTTTTCATGCTAATATAGTTCTCACTAAGTTCCTTGTAGCTCTCATAGAGTTCCTTGTAGTTCTCACTGAGCTCCTTGAGCATTCTTATAACCATTATTTGAACTCTATGTCTGAATGATTGCTTGCCTCAGCTTCATTTAGTACTCTTTCTGGGGATTTCTCCCTTCCTTTTGATTGGGAGTTGTTTCTTTGTCTCCCCATTTTAGGGCTTCTTCTTGTTTGTGTCTGCATATTAGATTGATCTGCTCTTCCTCTATTTTTTTATGGGGTGTCCTGTGGTAGGAGACCTGTGGAACTCAGTGGTGCTATCCCCTTGATGTCCTGAGCTGAATGCTCCTGGGATGCCCTTTATGCCATTTATGTGGGCTCTTTTGTAATTGGGTTTTGGTTGTTGTGTCATTTTTGTGGTGGGTTCTTTCTTTTGGCTGGCTGGCTGAGAGTCACACCACCCAACACATCTTGTGTGCAGTTGCTGCCAGAACAAAACAAAATAACCCAGGAAACAAAACCCATACCTGCAAAAATAACCCCCACCCACAAACACATGCTCAACAACAAATGAGCAAATAATAAAGGTGGAAAAATATTAAGACTAGTATAAGAAAGGAAAAACAAATATGAGATGACTAACAGAA